AAAAAAGAAAATTTAAATTAAAAAGCATGATTAAAAGATGAAATAACATTAAAGAATTATTTATTCAAAGGTCAAATTATATCTTCCTTAAATATGATTCATATTTTCATATGTTTTACATGAAAATCTTTTCTGGAAATATATACAGATCCTGCTTCGTTGTCTCTTTAGGGCTCTTGATGATCCCATCACACTAAAGCTTAAAGATTATTATCTCTATGTTATTAGTGGCTAGAGCACTTCCATCTAGTACATACCACTCCTTCATTAGTCACTTAAAAATGTACACATTGAAGTGCTAGAGAAATGGCTCTGAAGTTAAGAGAAATGTCTACCCTTGTAGAGGACCCAGATTCAGTTCCCAGTGCCCACATGATGACTAACAACCATCTATCACTCCAGTTCCAGGGAATCTTCTGGAACTGAACATTGTATACATGGGTACACTTACATATAGGTAGGCAAAGCACTCATATGCATAAAAATAAAAGTAAATAAATAAAAATTTAAAATATACTTTGAGAAGTAGGCCTTAAATCCAGCCAGAAAGTGGTTGGTTACTCCCTTAACATTTGTGTCACTATTGCACCAGTGTCCTTACCTTGCCAGGCCAGTAGGTAGAACACATAGCACCTTCCAGTACTATGAAAGTTAAGCAGTAGAGATGAAACTTCAAGGTCAGTATCAGCTTGATTTCTCCATGTTTGCTCTATGACTCATATACAGTGTCTTCACCAATAGGGTCTTTTCATCAAGTTCCGGAGAGCATCCAAGAGCAATAACAATAGCCAATACTGGTGCTGTTATCAGGACCAAAAACCTGTGGCTAGGTAGGTCACAGGCCATAGGGGTTATCCTACTACTATTGTCCTGCTAAATGGGAATAGCATTAAAGTGATTCCTAATTGCTTGTTGTTATAGATCAGTGCATCTCTCAACTCTCACAAGAGAATCTTCTTCTTGCAGCAGATGACAATTAGCATAGAGTCCCACAAATGGTCAATGTGAAGAGAATAAGAGACTGTAGTGCTCAGTTTTATAGAGACAACTATATCACACCCTGTACTCACAAGGCTCAGAGACCATAGTGGAAGAAGGGGCAGAAAGATTATAAGAGCCAGAGGTCTTACAATATAAGAATATAAAGAAACTGTATTGCCGAGACACAGCAGGGAAGTTGCACATACGAACTCATAGCAGTGTGACAGCATGAACAAGATCTAGACAAACTCAAGCCAGACAAAACTTCATCATAGAAGGGGAGGTGGCCAAGAAACCAGAGCTGAAGATCTGTTGGCAACTGATAGCTGCTGGGAGAGGGAAACTCAGTTTTCTTTAGGGGGTATGATGCCAGGTAGGTTGAGCAGACTCCAGGGGATGGACCCATACCCAAGAGCATTTGGAGACACAAATTAGATTCAATGTGTCTTAAAAAAAAATAGGGGCAAAAACATTTAAACAGTGACTGCTGTAATAGCTTATGCTATGGAGGTAAACACAAATGCTTGTTCAGCACTTTAGCAGGTGCAGCATTTCCATCTAACAAAGCAACTGCAGTGACTTTCTTGCTTCTCCCTGTGTGTGTTTTACAGTAGCTGGAATCCCACCAAAACTGGCCAACAGCCCATGGAAAACAGATGATGCAGAGACTTGAAAGTTCAGTGCCTTGCCACAACGGGAGAAGATCATCCCACACCTACTACCCCCACAAAGGCACAGGGATTTTTGCAGAAGAGGTTGGCAGAAAGGATGTAAGAGCCAGAGGAAAAGGGTGGAGTATTAACTGAAAATGTGCTTTGACCACTATGCCAGGAAGCTATAGTCACATTTCCTTCCCACACTCATCAAGGAGTCGAGGGGGGAGTCAGTTGTCCTTAGCTGCATGTGGGGGGAGGGGCAAAGGATATGTAAGCCAAGAACACCAAGAGGCACCTCTCTCACCATTTTGTGCAGCAGTCAGGAGGTCACAGGATCTGTATTTGGGTGTGGACTTTACAATGCAGCCATAAATGTGGGATGCCACTCTTCTGTAAATAAACCCCTACCCTATGCTCTGTTAAAAAATAATAAAATATTAAAAAATAATAGGGGACATGAAATTGGGGAGGGTAGTAAGGCATAGGTTGAGGTGGGAGAGGAGGTCTAAATATGATTAAAATACATTTTTTGAAATTATCAAAGAATAATAAAAATAAATTTAGAAGTTGAAGGCAAATGAATTTCAAGCAAATAAAAATTTAGAGAACTTATCACCCATCATTTCTTTGAAAGAATACAACATAGACTTGTTCAAGTGAAGGAAAATGACAGCAAAAAAAATTTTTAATGTAGAAAATACTGGAACTTTCAGGAAGTAAAACATATCTGGCATTCTAGGGCAGCTCAACATTGAGTGGAATGCCAACTAATAAAAATATAAATTACGATACTCAAATACATTATTTGAATAAGACATGAAAAATTGGATAACTTCAACACCATACTGAAGATAATACTTTTTTCTAATTCCCTGTCTAGAACTCGTAATGCTAATTACTCTTGCCTTTACTTCTCCTTCACAGCTCCTATTCATGATTCAAGGACTTTCTTTTCCCCTTAGAGATAAGAGTTATGCAATTTTGGAGTCTTTTAGATAGACCCACTGACGGGGTACTCCAATTGCCTCACCCTGTGTCCCTACTCAGCATGGAAGAAGCCAGAGCGGTCTGTGTCCCTATTCCCTATTGGCAATTTGGGTAATCCCTTCAGAGGATGATGTGATAAGAATGTGGGGTAGGAATTGGCTAGGCAGTTAGGGTAAAAAGACCCCAAAGAAATGTAGCCAGTTTCTGGGCTAAAAGTCAAAATGTCCTTGAGCCTGTTAGCAACATACTCTGTTCCAAAGGCCAAAAATGTCAAAATTATTTGGGAGCTTGTATCTAATCCTTAAAAGATTTTAGGGTTACCTCTTCAGAGGGGGGAATGTTGGAGGGGAGGGAGTGGACATGGATTTGATCAAAACACCTTATATGCATGTATGAAATTCTCAATAAAGTTTTTGTAAAAGTTAAAAACAACAACAACAAAGAATTTGGGGGATGGAGAGATGGCTCAGCAGTTAAGAGTACTGGACATGGGTTTAATTCCTAGTGTATGAAATTCTCAAATCATTAAAAATATTTTTTAAAATAAGAAAAATTGGGACAATTTCCCCAAAGTATTAAATTCCTTTCCTCTGTTTTATATGAGAGGTTATCCAGAAATAAATTTTATTATTTTTCTTATGTCTATAAATGCCTTTCTTTCTTGCAGAGGACCCAGGTTTGATTTCCAGCACTCACATGGTGGCTAACAACCATCTGTAGCTCCAGTTCCAGGGGAATCCGATGCCCTCTTCTAACCTCTGTAAGCATTACATGACATGGGTACACTTACATATATGCAGACAATACATTCATACACATAAAAATAATAAAATATTTTTAAAAGAAACAATGAATTTGAAGATGGGTCAATAGAAATTGTCAAATCTGAAAAACAGAGAAAAGGGCTAGA